TCTGTTATTTTGGGTGGTGGGGGGGGGGGGGGGTGGTGATTGATAACTTTAGGCTAGCTTTGATACCAATGATACTAAAGTTAACGAAAACAATAATAAATGACAATATCACTGCTGAAATTCAAATAGGGTAGTTACAATCACACAATTGAAGGGAAATTACAATAACTAGATACAAAAATCTGAAATTGTGACAAATGTAACAATGACTCAAACTAAGGTGGATCACTAGTGATGTTGGTGACTGTTGGGTGTTCGAAATGGTGGCAGTAAGATGGGAGTGCAGAGCAAGGGGGCAGAGATGACTGCAGAATAGTCGGTCCTTAATGTCCTGGGTGTAAGCAAAGTGGAATTCGGGTTCATTGAGGTTCGAACAACAGATATGTGGCAGAGAGGCGGTGTAGGTGGCAGGGACGTGGTCTGGGATGGCTTAAACAACAGATGGTGGGAAGGGAAGGAGATTTTTGATGGCTGGAATAGTGATGGCAACAAGCAGGAGTGTTGGAATTGCAAATGCGGCGAAGAGGGGGTTGGAACACGTGATGGCGACAAGGACAAAGATGGTTGGGAGGCACGGGGGTTGCAGGAGGCAGTAAAGATCTTGTCCGTGATGGGGGTGTGGCTGCAACAGGTACGGTGATGGGAAAGTTGTAGAGTATGGGAATGTCGGGGACAATCACCACCTCAGACCAAGAAACAACCGGAGTATGACTCGTTCTCTGATATAACCCTTGAAGGAAACACAGAAACTCCGACGGCTGTCATAACAGAAAACTCACAAATAATTGTCCTAAAACACAAAAACAACATATTTATAATTGTACCCCACTCCAAATAGGAAGAAAATCTAAGTAAAGAAAGTGTCAATCGAGCCTCTAGGACCTGTCCAATCTGCAATCTCTTGCGGTACAATAACATTGATCGCGGACGGCTTCATTTGGTATTGTAGCTAGAATTTGAACACTGTAGCAAAACATGTGGAAGTGGTCACTACGGATAGCTTTTGCTTTAGTCTCCTGGGGTTGGCGGAGATTCAATCTCTTCTACCGAAACTTCCGTCTCTTCGCAGTAGTTAGCTTGGCCTCGTTGAAGGTGATGAAGCTACTTTAGCCTTCCGTTATGTCATTCTTACAGACGTTGTCATTCCAAAGTACATTCTGATAGAATAATTATCCTTTCATATTGGAGTTGCATATTGAAGTGTTTCTTACGAGTCAAATCCCGAGCAAGTAAATCTTTAATTTGTTTCTACCACTCACTTTACTCGGCTGGATGAATCTAATAAACAAGTTTTTGATGAGAAATCAATTCTAAATGACATCTATATCAGGTTGTGTCATACTGAAGTATACCAGTTAGTAGGGGCTTCTTCTTCTTCTTCTCTGAACGGACCTCGATCTTACTATCTTTCCCCCAAAAATTTGAAGGTGATTTTCAACCTTGTGGTTTATCCATTCTGTTTGTTCAATTGTCGGTGGGTACACTGTTGAACTAATTTTAATACCTAAATGATTTCATATAGTCTTCCAAAAGTTACACATAAGAGTCATCTCTAACATGCTGGATCTTCCTAATTAGGGACATCTCAGCAGATAGACTATATATTTGAAAATTATGAATTGT